AGAGAGAGAGAGAGAGAGAGAGAGAGAGAATGTGCACGTACCTTCAGCCTTCCTCTGATATTATTCTGCTGACACAATCTTCTTAAACAACTTGTACCTCGAAACTGAAATTCGATTACATGTATTGAATTGCACACCAAAATATCCCACAGTATAAACAACACGGACTGTACACAGCAACTCAACACTTTGTTCTATAACTGTACTATAATAATCCAAAGATATGATCGTTGTAAGGCACGGCTAAGTACTTGTTTAATCGATAACTGGGTATGTTTACCTAAATTGGTCGATTCCGATACCTCGCCAGTACACTCTCCCTCCTCTCTGCTTTTGTTTTGCGACATCTGGCTACTGTTGGAAATTCGGGATCGATAAAGTAAGCCTATTCCGTCAACTTTGAGTGCTATGATAGCTTTATAACGGCTCGTATTTGCTCAAAAATCACTAAACAATTAGAAAGAGAATTTTCGATGTGCATTTCAGTATTTTCTCACCCACAGGAGTCTTTTATGTCAATATGCCGGCATTTCAACCGATGCACCGACGCCATTTTGCCACCGCCATCTAGTGCGTGCGCTATGACGTGTCGTTATAACAGCGTAACATTCACGCTATCATTACGTCACGTCACACTTCTCAACACGACTGTTTTATTTTATTAGCATTAAGATCCAGCTTGCTTTGTGTTTTTTTTTCTTTTTTCCCCTATTAAAAATTGAAGTAAACATGAAATGGAGAAGCGTGGAGGCACATGCAAGGGCGGATGAATACGTCTTGTAAAAGGTTAATTTGCCAATTACATGCATACATATTGCACGTTCAATTTTGTATCACTTTCATCTCAATTTATTCCCTAAAATATGGTTCAAAATAGGTTCAGACATTGAAAAGCACTATTTTATTAATATGATCAGAGGTTCAATAAAGAAATAAGTTAGGTAAAAATTCAAATCAAAGAGATTAAAAATGTAAATAGGCCTGGTATTTACATTTACAACTTTGATTTTGGGGTTGAAAATTTATCAGTTGCTGTCAATTCTCATCTCTCATTTCTCAGTAACCTATATTTGATTACCGGAGAGTACATCTCAAGTAACCAGTTTTAGTTTACAAGTTCAAAACGTTAATTGTGTTAGGTGAGATAAGTATGTGATCGTCGAAATCGAAGCACAATGAATCAATAATGGACAACAGGATAGACCAAAGAGCTAGCTACAATGATAGACCAATGAGCTAATTAATTAATTAATTAATGATAAAACACATGTTCGCGAGCTTAAAAGTGTGAGTTAAAAACTTTACAATTTCCCAAGTTTCTTACAGAGTTATGGTGAGTGTCAGGAAAGAAGAAACAAAAGGTTGGAAAGTCGGAAATTACAATCTTGTTTCCCAGGAAAATTTGTGAATTAGACGTTTTTCGAGGAAATATTCCTACAATGTGCATCATGAGTGGATGGTAAAAGAGAAACGGTCGAAAGTGCAGGAAGTTGTGTACCTTAAGACCAAATACCGGGTTACCAATTTTTTTAGGACACATTTTAATCACGTATTTAATATCGTCATTATCATATTATACCCCTTTAGTCATTTTTTCTTACTGCAATGAATAGGAAAAAAATAAAAAAATTAATACATGGAATAGATAGAAAAAAAACTTATGATAAACCACCGAAGACATGAACTTAAGCATGGAATCATTAGCTAATCAACAGCACTGCTTTCCGTTTAACTTATCACTTGTACCCCGGTATTAGTTCTTTGAAAGAGCCAACTGAATATCAATACATGCGCTTCAAATGTACTGAAACATATATTTAACGGAAGAGAGAAAAATCAGCTTGTTCACTTCGTCCATCAAAACAAGTTCTAGCCATCCGCACTGCTTTTAGCGGTCCTATAAGGTGTGCATTTCTTCCCGTGTTGTACATTCCTTGTTTTCACCCTTCTCTTTAATAATTTCTACAAAATATTTTCGCATTATATCATATTCATCAAATATAGCTCCAATATGAAAATAATTGTCTCGTATCTCTAATATCGGAGCACAATTGGGGTAGAGCTTACAAGACACGCTATCATGGCAAAGTGCATGGGAGCTAACATTCGGCCACACTTCTCTATTTAGCAGAGCCGTATCTTCATCAAAACCGTCGCCGTATCCTACCATCATTTCCGACCATGATTTATAGAGGTACTTTTTAAGTGCTTTCGGCTTTGCACCAAACATCCCACCTAAAATGGTTCTATCAGTGTGTGACGGATGGTCTCTTATAACGTGAAAGGGCGCGTCACTTTTCAACCAACTCTCTACCAGATTAACCTCTCGCTGTGACAGGCGACTATCAGCATCGCGTACTATGTAAGCGGATAAGGAAAGATCGTCCCCCGGTAAAAACCTCAAGAGCATCGGGGCAATGTGTGACATGTTTTTTGGAGTTATGACATCAGCACCAAGTCTGCCCAGGTGGTTTATTGTATCGTAACCTGGTCGTGTGTATTTACTCCACTGGCCAACGGTGTAAAACCTTACTGTCCAACTTGGATAAAATATGCGCGCTAACTGAGCGTTCCTGATAGCACCATACGTATAACGAAGGCTGTCTCCGTATAAACTAAACGATATCACCATCTCAGGATCTCTTTTCACATTCGCATTATCTATCCACTTTTTAATAAGCTCCTGACTTCTAGCCACTGCCGTTTGTGTTCCAATCTCTCCCATGATGCGCGGCACCGGTAGAGGGCAGTTCGGGTGGTAACATACAACAATTGACTCGCTAATTGGCACGGATTTTGATCCATAAATCTCCTTAAGCCACCATGCTCCAAGATGTCTGACATCGAATAAATACAGCATTCCAAATATATCAAAATGATTCCTGTGAATGAAAGGATAAGGATGTGTTTCGTTCTTGTCGTCGGCTGGAAAAACAACTCCAACGTTGGGTGGGTCTAGGTGGGATAATGCATTGATGTACTTGTCAGTCCATCCCATCCTTTTATATTCAGCATAGGGGTTCATTACATGATAATAATCCTCATTTTTCATAAACGCCAGCCTTGAAATGTCTAACATGGCCACCGTTTTATCTTTACCAGCAGTCAAATCAGTGAACAAAAGTGACACGTTGAATGAAAGCGGACAGTGTTCCCAAACCGTTCCCTGAAAGGCCATCTTGAATAAAGATTTATTCCATTCTGGTATTTGCTCTCCTTTGATGACCCCTAAATAGAAGGTGTACACGTAATTGTCTGTGGCCGTTTTACAGAAACTTTTGAGGAAGCTGTCAAAAAACAGAAAACTACTACGTGCCATTTCTTGTGTCTTGTTTTGAGTTGCTTCAATGAACTCATCAAAGCTGATGACCGTTACAATTGCAACCGATGGGTAAGCTAGTCCTTTCCGGTTGTTCTGCGTGCTTGGCTTCTTAAACATGCCCAGTTGTCCATACTTGAGCAGAATGACTGCACCGCTGACAATCCACAGTACCATCGCAAGAACAACGGCCCTAGGACGACATGCTCTTCCAACCATCCTGTATTTGATTTTTGTCAAATTCCCAACAGAATCTAAAAATGAATAGATGTAGATGACAAAGATGTAAATCAACAGAAATTATATATAGAATTCACCGCTAGCGATGTGTTCTCCAACGGGGTTCCCGTTTCGTCGTCGAACCAACAATATATATATGGATTCTGTCTCACAAATCTGCCCTGAGTCAAAATTCTAGTTGAAGCTTTCCAAGATAAAATCAACAACTGGGATATTCATATTAGGATGTCCGCTTGAAAACAAGCCCCTTTTCTAGCTCAGTCTGCTTGTGTGCGACGTCTTTACCCAATTGCATTTGAATTTTCACTAGAAGTACTAATTAAGGTACAATATGCCCATCAAAGATACAAATTCTTCCACAAGACGTAACTGAGTGCATTATCTGCAAACTAATAGGTAACATGTTATGAACTGAATGTAAAAGACAGAAAATGGTGTATTTGAGTGATACAAGTAGCGCAGTGTTCAGAAAAAAAAGACTGAAAGGTGCAAACAAAAGATATAAATAAAATTATATAACACCCATGTTATATAATTCAATACCCATGACGTGGATGGAAAAGCTGAACATTGATTTTCCACTTGAAAAGTGGTAGTTAGTTCATGCTTTGCCCTTTCCGGAAAAAAATGATCATTAACTACTGACATTGCAATTTAGAATTTTACATTGAATGTATTTCACGAATTCGATGCCTTTTAAATAGAATATGTTAGAGCATGAGCGATGACCCTGTTATGACCCTAAAGAAACTTATTGCATATTTTCTGGGATTGCACACATGTCCAGGCTATTTGGCCTTGTTTCATTCAGAACCTAAGTACACAGTACTCTGTTAAATTAGAACAATAATCTTGCCCGTTTATTTGGAATCTTGGACGACAGCCCTCTCTTAGGTATTAATCTACTACTTTTTCATATAAAGAAATAATTCACTCTATGTGGACAGAATAAAATTACACCTCTCTGGAATACCAAAAAGTATTTGGAAAAGCAAAAGAAAATAGATTTTTAGTGTTTATACCTCCTGGGTCCTCAAAAAGCAGTTTCATTAAGAGAAAAGGGAAAGTATAGAACAATTGTCGTAGCCAAGGCCTACTAAAATTATTTTATTGAAAAATTATACATGTATTTTAATCAACATTTGTAAGAACTTTTTTCAGTGTGTGAATGTCGTGTGGAACGTGTCTTAATTGTCTCTCATTGTGTTTAAATGCCCTGTATTATTTTTTCTGTGAAATATATATATATATATATATATATATATATATATATATATATATATATATATATATATAAAATACACGGGTAGCTTAGGTTTAATGTAAAAACAGTTGCTCAATATGGTTGTCACCGCCAATATTGTTGTTATAAGTGTCAGCTTTCCTTGAGTTGACAGTTCAGGGGCAGATCAAGGATTTTTTGAAGGGAGGATACGAAGCCGACCCTCCCCCACCCCACCCCCCTTGGAGTGTGGTTCAGGTTAATGTGCAATCATTCTAATCAACGGATCACTAACGGTATATATTGGTAATGATTTGCATTAAAAAATTATACAAAATAGCAAAATTAAACACAACCAGATAAAACTAAACATATACATGTATCTAATGTGTCAAGTACCAGTGCACCATGTAATGTGTCGATGACACCCTGATTAATAATAAGAATAAGAATAGCCCTACGCTTTGTTATTTTCACAGTTTTTCCTTAAAGATAAGAATAGTCCTAATCAGCTTTGACTTTCTTAATCGTGATTAAGTGTGTAACATTTGACACCGCCACATTCCATCCTCTTCTTGGGAAATGCCATACTTGCTGCCCTCTCTCTGGACGAAGTCCATGCAAAATGACAACACACTATGGTCAAATTTGGACGCGGCATCTGCCCAACCATGGAAGTAGGTTGATAGGACCAATGCTCCGATCTCTGCCAGCGATGGTACCACGAAATCACTCCTCGCCTCCTCGTGCCTTATCGAAGCTTTAAAGGTTG